TAAAGTTTTTGAGACAAAACATGTTTATAAAACTCTCTCTCTCTCTCTCTCTCTCTCTCTCTCTCTCTCTCTCTCTCTCTCTCTCTTCCATTCCTCTATCCATCTCCATCAATCAGAAGGGCTGATCCCTTCTCCCTCGTGGCTATACAGCCACTACATGTTCCTGATACTGCTTACAATCCTATATTCACCTGTAGAGATGAACTTGCAAGCTGCCTCTAGTTTACAAATACGAGGGATATTCTAATTGGCTTAGTTTTTATTGTGTGACTACCACTGAACCACTTCAGTGTGGCTGTGAGTGTCAGAATTACATAAAATGAGCAATATTTCCAGAAGAGTCCTTTAAGTCGGTGCGAGGCATGAATATCCCAGAAAACAGGACAATTATAGAGAACTGGGCAGACAGGCCCAAGGAGAGCCCCGTTCCACACTGCTCTTCCCCTCAGATTCAGCCTTCCAAATTTGCAGTCTGTTCAAGTTTTGATATTGTTAAGTGACTTTTTTCTTTCTTTTAAAAATAGTTTACTTTGTAAAAATAATAACATGCCTTATTTTAGGAGTAGAGTGTCCAGCCTCCTGTGCAGTGAAATAAGCATGATTCTGTATCTTTCTTCTGTAAGTAACCAAGGAGAATATAATAGATCCAATTCTGTGTCTTTCTGAGTAATTATCTTTTGATAAAATTGAATGTCTCACTGCAGAGTGGGATTCTTACCCAAGCACAGTCTGACTTTGTCTTCTCCCCACCTACCAGCAGATTCTCTTTTTGAATTTGTACCACACAGGTTTTCACAGGCTCAGATGACTGAAAGTTGATGTGGACTGACAGGCATCAGTTGTACGTACACTGCATGTCACCTATTTTAAACAACTTTTCTAATTTGGGGCAAAACCCTGAAACACAAAAACAAGACCCCCGTTCCCTTTAGATTTTCACAGGAAGGCAGTGATGCATCATCAAGATAGTGTAACATTTTTAACAACCCTGACTGTGATCTTCTTAGTATTTTATGTGCTGCATAAAAACAAACATAGGTAGCTGGAGATATGACTCAGGGGTTAGGAGTACTTGCTGCTCTTCCAGGAACCAGAGTTCAGTTCCCAGCACCCACATCGGGTGACTCACAACCACACATAACTCTAACTCCAGGGGATCAATGCCCTCTTCTGGCCTCGGCAGGCACCTGCACATATGTGGCATACACTTACACAGACATACTCATAAGTGAAAGTAGAATGAAACTTTTTGTTTCTTGAGAAAGACAGTGGAATTTAAGCACATACAGACTAAGTAGGGAAGTGGGTTTTTCCCTCTCTCCATCCTGCCAGCCCGTCTCATTTGTGTCCTTCCTTAATGAAGGAGCTCTGGCCTTACTGCTCCTCCCCTTCCCCTCATGGTTCTCACCAGGGTAACCTGACTGTCTCCAGCCCTGGCTCCTCGTCCCCACTTCTGCTCTATGTCTGTTTCCTGCCCATGTGATACAGTGTTGGCAGGATAATCCCCCCAAAGCACCTCTTTAGCTAAAAATAGGAAAAGTAGTCTGTGGGGTACCTGAAATGAATTTTGCTATCACTGGGGTCTAGGCTGGGCCGACCCACTGTTTGTATCCTCTGGTCTCAGTCCCTCATGCAGCTTTATTTCCTGATATGTTCCCACTCACACACCCTTTCCAGGCATTGCACCAACTTCCAGACATGGCGCATATGTCAAGGGCAGAGCTGATTTCTAGCCATCTGTTTCTGGTTGGTTTTTGTTTTTGTTTTTGTATTTGTTTGTTTATGTTTATAGACAAGTGTCTATGTCTGTGAGTAGAGCTGGTTGGAGCAAGCCCCATGGATTTTCCTGTCTGCATGTTGGAATTGCAGGTGCACACCATTTCTGGCTTTTTAATGTGGCTTCTGACTATCTGAACTCAGGTTTTCATGCAGGCATTGTCTGAGCCGTTTCCCCAATCCCTGACGTCTGTCTACTTTAATGTTTGCTTCATTCTTTTCTTTTTTATTTCCAGCTGGTTTGTAGGTAGAGGATATTCTTGCTACTGCTAAGATTGCCAAATACCCAGCACCAATTTATTTCTGTGGAATTAGATGGAAATGCAGTGCTGTGCACTCAAATTTGCAATGATGTGGTTCCTCTGAATACATTTTTCATACTCAAGATACTGCTTAATTCTCTATCACTCAGTGAACTAGAAATATTTGTATAGCATTAAGTATCAATTCTTACAAAGCTGACTTAAACCTCTAGAAAACCTTAAACTCAGTTCACCTTAGAAAATGTGCTTATGTCTATTTTAAGCACTGTTTATTGTTTAACTCAGGGGAGAAGTTCATGTTCAAGAGATAGAGATGCATGTCTTACTGTAAGCACTTTTGTAATTATATTTCTTTTTTTCTGAAAGTCATGTGGATCTATAAAGACAGAGTCAAGAAGAGCTGGGAACTTCCGTGTGTACATATGTACCACATTTTCTTTAGCTAGTCATCAGTTGAGGGTAAAAGACAATGGAATCCTGTCACTTGAGACCACAGGCACAAAAAGACAAGGGCTGTGTGACCACACCTTTATGTAGAATATTATAAAGTAGGTGCCTTAGAAATGGAAAATGGAAGACTATTTTCTAGACCCTGGAAAGCACAAGGAGCTGGGAAAGGTTGATCATGGGGTAAGAAATTTGAGGTTGACTACAATGGGTAACAGTGTACTCATAACTAGGAAAGGGGAGCTTGAATGTTATAAAGAAAATGTTGAGTAGTTGAGAAAACCAATGTATCTACCCTGGTTTGAACATTATAGAATGTACACACACATCCTGCACATATACAAATATTACTTGGTCCCATAGTATACATTTGTTGTGTACAATTTTTAAGTTCTTTAAAATATATATTTTATTATTTTTATTTTATGTGTATGAGTATATTGCCTGCATGTATATAAGTGAACCCATGTCCTGCAATGCTCATGTTAATCAGAAGAGGGTATCAGATCCCCTAGAACTGGAGTTATGGATGGTTGTTAGCCGTCATATGGGCGCTGGGAATCCAGGTCCTCTGCAAGAACAGTTGATGGTCTTAACTGCTGAGCTATCTCTCCAGCCCCTCTGTGTATCAATTTTAAAAATAGATTGCTTCAGGGGCTGGAGAGATGGTTCAGCAGTTAAGAGCACTGGCTGCTCTTGCAGAGGACCCA